GATGTTAGTGACACCAGGGCCAGGAGGCTCAAATGAGAATGGAGGTGAAAGCATTTCATAAACTAAGGAAATGTCCTCGAGGTCAACATCTTCTCATGAAGTTTTTTTTTTTTAAAGGAATTCAGATTTAAATTCACTGATCACAAATATGAAAATAATTATTGGAAGCCTGTATGATTAAGCTTCTTTCTTTATGAATTTATTCAGTTCAAACTGATAGTTGAAACAGAATTTGGTTGAGATAAAGTTTTAAAAAATGACTGGATCTGACCCAAACATGTCGTGTTAAGACATACAGATTTAGGATCCCACATAACATGTTAGACTGAGTAGGAACAGAAAGTAGCTTTTGGTCGTGCGATACGTAGTTAGCCGAGATTGTGGATGGGTGGGAATGAGGAAATTATGTTGCAGAGGAATGGGAAATAACATGAATCGAGTACACACACTCAATACTTGCATATACCATCTTTCTTTATGCTTATTACTGCCCAGAGAAATAGGCGGAAGAACTTCTTTTCTTTGAAAGGGGGGATTAAAAATTGAAATGATGAAATCACTTGCTCAAAGTTGTATCATGTGAGTGGTTGAGCTAGTGTTAAGATGCTTGTCAACTTTAAGGTCCATGTTCTTTTCATCCCATATTGGTACTATGTACACCCTGACAAGCTTAGCCCCTACGCTTTGTATGGGTCAGAGCTCCTTGTCTGTTTCTGTGCTGACTCTCAGTTGTTTTTCTTACAGAGCTTTTACAGTAAGCTCCCGACAAGACTTTTAAAAGATGCTGCAAGTGACAAATATTGGGGAGTGGAGGACTTAATAGCTAGCATTACCTCAGAAGCAAACAGCTTAAATTCCTGGATTGTCTGGAGTTTCATTTACATAAGACCAACCTTGTGTGTGTGTGTGTGTGTGAGGTAATTACAAAAATGCTGGCCAACTCTTTCCATCTGTGGTTCTTGCATACAGTATGCACTTCTGATGCTGTGGGGCTCTGTTATTGTTCAAAATTCACCTTAGGGGTTTTCTCAAACTCTTCATTCTTATCCTGTTGTGGTTTTTAGCTTTCTTTTTTCTTTCCAGGCTGGGTGGAAGATATAGTTTCACTTCTAGGTGTTAAGGATTCTCTTTCACAATGGTTTGCCATGACCTTAAAGTATTTTAAGTTTCTCCCTTGGTATTTTATTTTTCTTCAAGTCATATACCAGTAAACTACAGATGTGTTTTACCCAATGAGTTGACAATACCAGCCACTGGAGAGTCGATAGGATTTGTCTGAGTCAATCAAATGTCAAACCCGGCAAGTGCTCGACCTGTTCATTTAGGCTTCAAATTGGTAGGGTCTTGCGTCCAGACTTGAAGGCGAGTTTCATTTCTGAATTGGCCTTTAAGTTGTAAGAGTTACTAAATGTGACATACATCACAAAGGCAGAAAAGTGTTTGTTATGGTCACACTTGTCTTCATTGTGATCGCCATCACAGTTCTCTCCTGTCAGATAATTGATCAAGGCTAATAGTCGTTGTGAGCTACAACCACCCACAAAAACCACATACATGGCATTTTACTCAAAACTTTACTTTAACCACCACTTTGTGATGCAAAACTAGTGGAATTTTGGGTACTTTCTGTAAAATCGAAATCTTCATAGGGGTTTTCCAACATCCTAGATGATTGGCAACAAATTATGAGTCTAGTGCAGGAGAGTACAGTGGCGTTTGTTAAGAGTAAAGTGGGGACAGAGTTCTGTGGGAGGACAAAGCACCGGTGAACCTGCATGGCTTCACTTGGGAGGAAGCTGCCTCTGTTGGGTTGAGTGATTCTTTGTGAAAAATGCAGCTAAATAAAAAGTATTTATGTGAGATATATAGTTGCAAGAGAGAGCCACTGGGAGTTCACTTATCTTTGCCACAGAGTTTGCGGTCTTGACAAAGTATTCATATTCAATACTTTGATTTATAGATTTTCTTTTGAGATGTGAAAAGAAATATGAATCAATTTGTATTGTTCCACATGTAGGAATAAGGGAAGATTATTCTGGGAAAATGAGCTCTCTCTGTATTTGGCTAAGTTAGGAGATCTTTGTTTATTTTGGAGCTAAATCCTTGAACAAGTCACTTTACTGCTTTTGGGTGTTCTTATCTTTTAAAATAAGTTTCATTCCTCCTGTATGGTTTGGTAGAGCATATTGTCTCAACTGCCTTTAACAGGAATCCAGTATTATTATATCTTTTTCTTATGTAAAGGTCCCTCTTACTGTTGTGTAATTCAGGTTCCTAACAAGCAAGCCCCTATCCCCTAACCCACAGGGGGTTGAACACAGGACTTTGCACATGCTAGGCTAGTGCTCAACCACTGATGTACAGCTCTAGTTCTTTTAAAACAATTTTGAGTGACAGAGGCCTGTAAGTCATCCAGGCTGGACTTGAACTTGGAATCCGCCTGTCTCAGTCTCCTGAGTCATGGGGATTCCAAATATATGCCACTGCATTCAGCTACATATGGTTTTTAAAATCTGTAAAAATATTATTTTAGCAAAAAACAATTCTCCTCTGTAAGTATTCAGTTAAGCTCCTACTATTTTTGAAGGGCTAATTTTCCCTCAGAAATCACTTATGGTCTCATAATTAGCTTTAAAATAACTATGGGAAAGTGTCAGGCTGTTTCTTCATTAATGCTGTGTCTACAATAGGATTGAGAAATCTAGAATTCACTTTTTAACAGGTCAGTACCTTAGTTTACTATAAAGATCTTGGTAATTTCACATAGCACATTGGTAAAGCTTTTTTTTCTTTTCGCTTGCTGCTACAGAGTTTCTGATTAGCTTCCACAAATTATGTTTGCTTTATTATTTATGACAGGAACCACTCATTTAAACAGTGAAAGAGCAGGCTTTATAGAAACAAGATCAAGCAAAACATCTGCACTAAGTATAACCACATTTTTAAAAGAATGGTAGAATCAAAAACCAAGAATGAGGACTACGAACCTGGAAGCAAACCAAGTAAATTAGAATTCTAATGAAATATTTTGTGTACATGTTGGGGGAGGTAGAGATAGATATAGTTTTAAGAAAAGCTGTACATGATGGAATAAGACCAGAGCAGACAAAGAGTGGACGCTGTATGTACAGGGGCAAATTGAAGTTTGTTTGTTTTTTTTTTTTTGGTTTTTCTCCGGTACCGGGAACCGAACTCACGACCTTGTGCTTGCCAGGCAGGCGCTTTTGCTGCTGAGCTAAATCCCCAGCCCCCAAATTGAAGTTTGTAAGTACATAAAGTTTAGGGACAAGCAGAAATAGGGTAAGATATCATAAATGCTAGAGAAATGGAAGGAAATTTCCCAGACCCTCTGTTTTAGCAAATTGTTCAATTGAGGAAGTCTGCCAAATTTGAAACCTGAATTTGGTGTTACGGCAAACTTTAAAAATTAAAGAAATGAAGCCAAATAGCTTTTCTGTGTACCACCACCCTTGATGCTCAGCCTGATAACACTGCTTCCTCACAGGTGACTTGGATCTCTGTCCTGGAAGCAGAGGTGGGGGAAAGGTGGTACCTGGAGAAGGCAGGCAGAGGCACAGCTGTGCATCGAAGGCCACAGGAGCTTTACCTCAAGATCCTGTGCTTCCACTGCACCAGCTTCAGCGCTGTCACCCAAACATCAAGGGTAGGACCTGCCACAGGTGGGGTGGAGTAGCATTCCCATTTCACTTATTTCCTGCTGAAGTTGGCAAATTGAATGAAGATTTATATCTTCAGTGACAGGATTCAAATGAAACATGACACACCTGTACAAGCTGCCATCTAAACATGTCAATGCAGAACTTTGCAATGAGCTAGATGGGACCCAGGAGACAAACCACACACATTGTCATATTGTATTGGACAGCGTGAGAGATCAAAGAGAAGGCTTGGGGGGAAGCAAGTCCTCACTGGCCAAAATGCACGCTGTGGAGTTTAGCATAGACACCATTTTGGTTTTAGATAAAAGCATGTGTCTCTCAGGCTTGTCTTAGGATGGAAAAACTTTGTGGAGATATGCTACACGGACTGGAAAATTACTAATTTGTTTTTCTTAAGTCATCAAATTTATAAAGTACTAGAAGCACTGGTTATGAAACTAGTCACTTAACTGGAATTTAATCCTGACCCAGTTCCCAACGTTGAGTGGGAATTACTCTTATTTACCAAAGCACAGAGAAAAGAGGTGTCAAAAACAGCAGCCATGGGGCAGGGGATTTAGCTCAGTGGCAAAGTGCCTGCCTGGCAAGCGCAAGGTCGTGAGTTCGGTTCCCGGTACCGGAGAAAAACGAAAAAAAAAAAAAACAAAAAAAACCAGCAGCAACAGTGAGCACTGCTTTGAGGAGGGAACACGTTTTTCTATAGTCGGATAGAAGAATCACCTTTGTTAAAACATTTCAGACTGTCTGCTGAAGGGCCCTGACCATGGGGAAATACCTCCTGTGAAACGACCTTCCCCTCTGAGTGACACTTCCACCTGTCAGGTACCAAATTAAAGATCTCCAGGGAAAAGCCTTAGGAGACAGCACACTGAGTAGAATGCTTCGCACTTCGCCATGGCACCCATGACAGCCTGGCTGGCAGTCACTAGGCTAGATGGATGAGTGAATGAATATTGTATTAGAAACACCCCAATATTTGTTCCAGTGGTTCTGTAGAAATTATTGTAGCAGTTTTTTTAAAAAATAGTCAGGTCTGAATTTCTGAACTAATCTGAAAACCAAACCACTTGCCGTTTAGATTGGTCCTAAGAAGGTATATCACTGGAATAGCTCTCGGCCGGGTGTGGTACATGACCATAATCCCAGCACTCAGTAGGCTGAAGTAGCAGGATCACCATGAGTTCTAGGTGAGCCTGAGCTACACAGTGAGTTCAAAGCCAGCTTGAACTATGTAATGAAACTCTATTTCAAAAAACTAAACAAACAAAAACCTTTTAAGTCACAAATAAATGCCAAATAAAAGCCAGCACGCAGTCATCGTATATTATTCTGCATCATTTATTAAATATTTTTATATATGCATTTACAAACTTGACTCATTTCAGAATTCTGCTTTCAATACATTTTTAAACATTTTTTTGCAGAGTGGTTCTCTAGTAAAATGAGACCCATATACAAAACTAGGCAACAGGTATAAAAGTTTCCTTTCATACTTTTCATCCATCCAGAAAAGAAATCAGGTGACAAAGAAATAAAACCAAAACGTGGCTCTTTCAGAAGAGTAATATGTCAGTGTTCAACTATGAATCCTAAGGGGATAGTTCGTATCTTTTATATGGCTGTGTATAGTTTTAATACTCTTAGCTACTGTAGTATGTTGGTTCAGATGAAGAAAAAAATCCCTACCGTTTGGACTAGATACTCTAGAAACTATCAATTACTCTTTTTTTAATATTATGACATCAAAATTCAACTAGGAGATGACATTAATTGGCCAGCAATATGCATTTATCCCAAACATAGCATAAAAAGTTCCCTTTAAAAAATTCATCAACTTCTTCACATCCTAAAGTGTGAGTCTTTAACATGGCTCTCTTATTTAAAGAAATAGTTTAACTGATCAATTTAGAAGCCTAAAAGTATCCTTGAAACTACCATTGGTTTTCTTAAAATGAATGCTAATTTAACAGTTCATAGACTTGGAGCGTTGTCACTATGAGACAGAGGCACTAATGCCACTAGCAACGAAAAACAGTATCACTGTAGATAATTATATGGTACAAAATGCCCAGGGGCCTGAAACTCGCTATGAATATAATTTTGGCAGCAGCATCATTTGATATTTAACCATTTATTACATAGTATTAACACACCAGCTTCAAAGATGTGTACTCCCTGTGGGATACTAGGGAGTTACAAATTTATTGTGATTGCATAATTCGTATTGCACAGTTTTATAAAAAACATAAATACTGGCTATTCTAGTTTTAAATACAAAATACATGTCATATAGTTTTAAATCTATAATCTGGTTCAAGTGCAAATCAGGTACTTTCGGTAGTCCTTCCAAAAAAGGCATTTGTAATATTTTTGGCACAAATGAAATGTCATCATGCCAACAAGTCTAATTACAATACATATTTCCAAACCTTTAGGTAGCAATCATATACATACAGTATAAAACTGAGTATTTACAAATGTACTAAGCATAAATGTAACCTTAGTGGGTGAATCAGAACTAAGTAGCCATACCCACACCAAAAATAATTAAAAAAGGTAAATACAATTCCTCTATTCATTTGCTTATGCTGGTTGCTGTGGGTTGACATTCATGTGAGGAGGATGTCCTAGAAGACCAATTCTTTGTTTCTGCTTCCTTTGTTCTGTCATCTGGAAAGTTAAAAAGTTTCATCATTAGAACCAGACACTTCCTGTACGTCAAATCATATACTGAACCATAGCTTTACCTCTGTGGTTACGGTCTGTACTGAAACCCACTTTCTACAAATAGTATACCGTCACCATATCACACACACAGGACTTCAAAAAGAGAATCTTCCTAACAGAATGGGGAATTCTGTAACCTAGTCATGCAATGTAACATTCAAGGGTATTGCTTGCTACTTGTTTCATAAAGAAACAACAACAACAACAAAAAAAAAAAAACAGGAAAAGCACAAGATTCTGGATTGTTTTCCGAAATCCATTTCCAAATGATTAAAGATTCATTGGGAAATGGTGGTTCTGTGTGATAGTAACAACACGCCATACTATCCAGAAAAGCAGTGTGTTTAGAATCCGAGGGCTGAGAGACACCGTGTCTACACTCACCAGTGGGCCTTGGGTTCCTCTCACCAAGGACACTTGAATAGTTCATTAGAGAGAAAAAAGTGACCTAATCCATCTAGGAAGATAGAATTGTTCACACACCTCCCTCAGCTGCAGAATAAATATCACAAACACTGTCCTGGCCACCGGTGTCTTATCTTCTTGCCACCAACAGATGCTGAATTTGGCCTAACGCCAGGAGAGACCATTTCCTAAGGCTGGTTCCCATTAAAAATACTCGCACCACCCAAAGCAAAAGGTTCATTCTGTTTATCTGCCTGTTGATCTAAATAAGTTCTCATACGCTGAGGAGCTTCTACTTTCTTCTGGGTATTTTAGGTACTTAATTCTTTGCATTATTTTTTCTTAACCTAGTTAGTCCTAGTTCTAGATTTGAGGGTAGCATTTAAGCCAACTAAGATAAAAGGCAATAGGAAATAGGGTGGAACAGTAAAGCAATGTAGGCTTTGGAATCAGACAAGGCTATTTCCATATGGTTTGTGATTTAACTTCTGCAAATCTGTCTTTTCATACAATTGGGATGATTCCTCTCCTCTAGCTGAGAACTGAGAGGACATCTACAAATGTCCTAGTGCAGAATGTCACCTAAAGGATGAGTTTTACTTGACCTTTTGGTACAAAGGCTGAGAGAACATAAGAATAACCTAGCTTCAATTTTAAAGTAGTTATTTTTTTCAAAACCTAGCAGTTATCCTTTCAAGTCAGAACACTATTTCTAGGCTCCTGTGGAAAAGCCTTCTCCATTATAATTTAGATAAGATTTACAAGGGTTGACTACTTCCAAAAGGAAGCTTTTGCTAAGGCTTTTTGTAAGGAACTGGCTGAGGATATTTCAGCTAGCCTCTAATGTTTCCCTGGGTGAGGAACAAACCTGGGAAGGAAGTGTCACCCACGATACTGTATTCACAGGTTCTGTGAGGAAGGAGAAATCCTATGGCACATGAAATCAATTCACAGCTCATTCAAATGCTAGTCATTCATTCACCTTACTCCTGACAGCTGAGAAATTTAGCTCAGACTTTTTTCCTCCTAACTATGCCCTGGATAAATATGCCCTTGAAATGGCAGCCAATTAAACATAACTAACCTGATAATCTCAAGCATCCAGAAAGGACTTTTACAAATCTTAGAGTGCTCATGCCCCACTGTACTTCACCAATGATTCCATTTAAAGCTACTGAGATGTTTCGACTCAGTTGGCCATTGAAATCTCTCTAACTTTGCTTTCAAGTAACTACTTGTACTTGAGGTAACCTTTTGTGTATGCCTGTCGTCATCTGTTTAATCAGTTCGCTTTGATCTCAGTTAGTTATTCTATCCTTGTCTTCAGCCTCCCAAACTTTATCCTCTAGCAAGTGAGTCCGCAGTGGATGGCCTGTCTTCCTTTTCTCTTCCACAGCCATTGCCCTCCGCCTCGCTCAGGCTCTTATTCGAACTTTCTAAGCTAGTGCTCAGATTACCCTCCTGCCCTCATTAACCCTAACCACTGAACAGTCTAAGTACTTACATGCAGGATGACCAAAATTGCGTTTTCCCCATTAATTTTACAATATAACGGGAAATATAAAAAAAAAATTATCAAATTTATTCAATACAAGAATTGACCAGTAAAAATGACACCTGTGTGAGCCACGCTCAGGATAGTCAGTGCGTAAAGAAAGGCGCTGCTTAAGCAGTGCTTGGGGTAAACTGTTCAGTGGTTAATTCTGTGATTCCTTCGTAACTTCAAGTACTTATCTATACAGTTATGTTCCGCTCCCTACAGAAGTAGTTCTTAAACTCTAGCATGTGCCATAATCACCTAGAAGGTTTGTTGAAACAGGTCAGGGGGACACAGAGTCTGGTGCAGCCGGTCTGGTGTGGAGTCTAAGAAGCTGAGTTGTCTCTGGTGACAAACATGGTGCTGGCCTAGAGCCCATACTTTGAGAATCTCCACAGTAGGCCACGATCATTTTGGATATACTTTCATTTTAAAAACCAGGATTTGGGCACATATGCTCTTCTTCCCAAATGAAAAAGGTCTTGAAGATTTTCTGCTATTGAGAACACAGTGGACATACACTTTGGCTGCTTTCCTCCTGTCTCGGTCAACCTTGCAAGTCTTTTAGACAGGAATGCCATCATTTAAGTCAATGGTTATCTTTGTTTTCTCTTTTCTTCAGTGACGAGTACTGAACCCAGGGTGGCACGCTTGCTGGGCAAGTGCTCTACCACTGAGCTATATTCGCATCCCTTTTTCTTTTATTTTGAGAAAGGGTCTCACCCAAGCTGGCCTCACACTTGCAATACTCTTGCTTCTCTCTAGGAGCTGGTATTTGTAAGCATGCCCTCCCATGCCCAGACTTTCACTGGCATTTAAGTGAATGAGAAGAAGGAATGGGCAACTGCTAGAGTATTTGGTCTTTTGGACAGTGACAGTAGTTACCATCCAATTACAATTATTAGGAGATTAAAACAAAACAAACACACAATATCATTAAGGACTAAATTTTTTAAGGAAACAAGGCCAACACAGCTGGCCACTTAGATTTTCTCAGCCTATCTGTACCTATTTTCACATAGATTCTGGCTTTATTAGCTCAGTTTGATCTATCTATGTGTATATACCTATATGCACATTTCTTACCACAAAACATCAGTATAATCTGTTATTCTTATCTGCTTCCAAAATATAAAGAATGATGAAGTCCATCATTACAATAAGTTCACCTAGGATTCTCTCTGGACATCTGAAACAATATTGACTTTTTTTTTTTTTTGAGACAGGGTTTCACCATTTAGTTCAGGTTAGTCTTGAACTTCTTATGTAGCCCATGCTGGTCTCAAACTTGCAACAATCCACCTGCCTCAGCCTCCTGAATGCTGGGATTACAGGCATGCTCCACCATGTCCAGCCAAAATTAACTCTTGATAAAAATATCTATCAGATTCCAGTTACATCTAAAGTATCTATATTCAAAATCCTAACATTGAAATATCTATTTTCAGTAGTGTGAAATGTCCCAGTTGTAGTACACTTAAGATCCTCAGAATTCTCATTTAGTTGTGGATCAAGAGTTGAAGCAGTTCTGTTCTTCCTATCTGCACAAATATGGAAACTAGCTCAAACATGTGTACTTCTTTTTGACTCGAGTCTTAACAAGAAGCAAAGAATACTGTCTGTAGTTTTAAAAGTCAGACACAGTCAAACATCTGAATTTCTTGTGTGAAAAACTGGGCACAGTATAAATGAGCAAACTGTAGTCACTCAGAGGCCATGCTGCTAGATTAAAAGCTGGCACAGGAAGGAAGGTTATTGACAGCACACAAACACCACAGTCTGGTTTATAACCGGTATTAATAGTCTTTGGAAAGCAGCTTTCAAGTCACATAAGATTCTGGTTTACTGAGATTCTAAACAGCCAGGAACTCAATAATCAGAATTACTTTTTACAGTCTTGTAAAATCACTTATGCTTAGAAATGATAAGCCTAAAATACTGATAGGTAAAACTGAAGCATTTCTTGAGTGCAGTTCTACTGATTTTATCAAACAGTATAGATAATCTGGTTCAGATTTAGAGTCGTTCTCCAATGTCTAGTCTGCTTTTTCCATTTCACCTGGCAAATTCCTTCTCAAGTTTGGAAACCAAGCTCCAGCATTAGCACTTCTAGGAAGTCTGTGGTAAGAGTTTCATCTTCTCTCTAAGCTCAGACTGGAGGCATCGCTCCTGTCTTCAACCCCAGAGCAGTATATTCAAACCTCCATTGTGTTACACACCTCTACGTTCTAGTGTAATTCATCTGTGTGTGCTTGTCTCATAATCTAGTTTGTTTGTTCCACAAGGCGGAGACTAGGCCCTCGTCCTCTCTGTATCCCTAGTACCTGCTGCTGCACCAGGCAGTGTATGTTGGTTGAGAGAAGGAAGGGAATTAATGAGAACATTCTGCCATTCCTTGAGCATGCCATGCATTGTCATGCCTTTGCCCATGCCGATTCCTTTCCTGGGAGGCCCCCTCCTGCATTTCCTGTGAGCTCAGAAGCCATCTGCTTAAGACTGTAAAAACTAAACTCTTCCCTCACTCTGGACCTCATACTTGACCAGCTACCCACTCCTCTGTACCTCAGGGAACTTTAATCATGCCTCATTCTTCGACCAGCAACGTGCTGTTAGTCTCCTTTGTGACAGATGTTGTCTTAGTCCTCTTTAATGGCCACCAAACAGTGTAAACAAAAAACACATTCTGCAAATTCTATTCAGTGTTCCATTTTCCATTCTCCAACATAGGGCAGTTATTCCAATCTTCTGTTATTCTTTCCTCCCTTAAGCAGTTAATAAGATAGCCCTCTTGCATGAAAAAAATGCCAAATGCTGTAACATGCTAATGTGATCTGGATTTCCAAGCACTTCTTATTTTCCTAGCAATAATAGGTAAGTGTCCTATAGGAAGCCATCACATTTTCAAGAAAGTTAACCCTTAGCTCAGTATTTGCTCTTTTGCAGTATGAAGAAAACATGCAAAAAAAATTTAAGTTCTTACATTAGTTCTCCTCCTTGGAATAAGGATGTAAGAGAATCATATTTAGTATTCAGAATCTCTTGGGAGGGGAAATTTGAAGATGAGATGCATCATTAATACTCAGAATAGCAATTCTAATCAACTGCTCTTGGCAATAATAGAAAAACCACCACCACTATCTTTTTAGTAATGAATTCCCCCTCCAATTGGCAGTTTAAAAAGCAACAACCAAAGAGGTAAACATTAAAACCAAACTCATCCACACGTAAAGTACTGCTGTTTCATTGTGCCGGCTTTTGGATCAGAAGATCTTTAAAAAAAATTAAGTGATAAAGCGATTTTTTTGTGTGTTTTCCAGCATTTTCACTAGGGAATGGTATTCTTTCCTAGCTGTTTTTTAAAAACGTAAGAATTTCCTGTTCATTAATCATCTGTGGAGCTCTTGTTTATTTTTTTAATTCAAAAACTTTTCCCTTTAGAGGGCAGGGACACTCACAGCTGCCATTTCAGAACCAGCAGCTGTCTAACATATCTAGATGACTTTTTGTATAAAAGAGTTTCAAAAATGTTGGATTCTTATAACACCAAACAATAAAATCCAAATCTACTCAGTAAGTTGATTCTCAAACAAACGCATTAAAGATTGACTAGCTGGTTCCTTTTGAATGAAGCACCCCACCTCCTAGCAGCTATCGTGAATTTTTCCTGTAATTCTGGGCACCTTCAAATTTAAGCAGATCAATTCTGGTAAAAGCACCTAAGAATATACTATTGGCTTTTCATGCTTCTTTGTAACGTGTAATATTTTCCAAGGAAAAAAAAGGTTCAATTTCAAATTCATTGACAAGGAAAGGGCTTTCTGAAGAATGGTTTCAACTTTATAAAACAAAAACAATATAAAAAGGGCTGGAACTGAGCAGTTTAATCTATACTGGTTCTCACGTCACCTAAGAAACCTTAGTCCACTTTTAATAAAATTTTGTTTAAGCCCAAATTTTAGTTTAATAGGGGGGATTCTACCCTAAATTTTAAAAAAAGCCAGGTCTCTACTATGCTCAGTTTTGTAAAATGGCAATGACTGTATCCTTCATACTATTAAAGTGTATGATGTAACCTTTGAAATGCTAGGGCTCTTAAAAAAAGAGGAAGAATTCAAATAGTCAACCATGAAAGGTGAACAGTACAGTGACAAAACAAATCAGAGAACAAAAACGCATCACTCACACAAAACCAAAGCCACGCTTGGGGGATGAGATTCCCGCCATGGCACTGTCATAAAAGCTTGGGTGAATCTCCTAAGAGACTTCTGTGTTCCTTGGGTCCTCACCAAGAAAATGAGGGCACTGGGTGAGAATGACACTGACGGTCTTGAACACCCTCCTATACCTGTGATTCTTTTTTCAATTTCCTCAGCTCAAGTCACTGGTTGGGCAAGGTTTACTGGTTTGCAAAGTGAGCACCAGCGCAGCCTCAGCATCACGTTTAGGAAAATTCAAAACAGACTTTCACGACTGAAAGGACAGGGAGGACCCTGAGGAAAGGGCTTGCTTAGGCTTTACCAAAACCAAATACTCAAAAGTATAGCAGTTTTGTTTCACACATATTTTAGGAAACTCTCTTCAAAAAAAAAAAAAGAAAGAAACTCTCTAATAAAGCGGAAACCCCCACTTTCTCTTACTAATTGGACCATGTCCCTAAAGTGCTTCCAAGTGTGATCAGAAGTGAGCAAGGACGAATTTCAGGTGCAATGGCGTTTGAGAGCTAGAACCCTTCCGCTAGGGTGGCTCCGCTCCCTTAGACACGGAGCAAGGATGACCTTCTCTCAACAATGGCACCATCAGACCGTACTTAGTCAGTCTCTGTATGATTTTTGGGCACTTAATTTAAAACATCTGATTTAACTGAAGAGTTTTTAGCCACAGCTATATCAAACGGGAAAAGATGATAACTCAAGCTTGACAGCCGCTTTAAGTTTGCTTAGCTCCTCGGGGATGGTGAGGCAGAAGCGACTGCAGTAGACCACGCACTGCGGAGTCAGTTTAGCGCCGTGGAACGTTTGTCAGCTGTTGTACATCAGGGTCCGAAGTTAACAAGCACAGTGATCTGGGTAGACCATCATTAGTTTTACTTATTTAGGTTATTATTCATTTCAGGTTGCAACCAAGCGCAGGGCTGGAGACAGCCTTTGTCAATATGGCCTTTTCTCTTTAGTGCTTTTTTATTTACATCTCAATACATATGAACAAAAAGAACGTGAGGCCAAAGGTATCTTAGGGCACAGTTTGGAATAATTTGGCTGGCAAAGAAATATAATTCTGAACAGGATTATTAAAAATCCTTTGTAAATGATCTCCGAGAAGAGTTTACTATGGATGAGAGCTTCAGTAGCTAGGGTGTGTGTAAGGATAATATATCACCTCTGCCTGCACCTTGCACAGCACCCGAAAGGCAGCTCAGCTGATAGCTATCGCTATGTATACTTCTGTGTATGGACTTTATTAAAAAGTTTTGAGAAACATATCAAATGCTGAATTGTACCCCATCTGTATATGATTATCCCAGTGAGCTATAGTAATGCAAGATCTTAGCTTGTTCGCCATCCTGGGCTCAAATTCTTGACAGAACTGCATCCTACTTAGGTGACCACTTGCTGACTGAATATTTTAAGGGCATCAAAAGAGGAGAAAAAGAATATGTAGAGTGTGGTATAAATTAGACTTTTCTCCCAACTTACTAAAAGGGGCAAAGCGTCTGTCGTATGGATAGGATCTGTATCCTGCTACCAGCCTCTGTGAGGCCAGGGGTTGTGCATCTATTCCTCAGTGTTTTCTCCCCAGAACCTGATACAATGCCTCTAGTCTGGCAGTCACTCAGGATGTATTTTGCAAACAAATGAACCAAAACAGGCTTCTCTATGACTATGCTTTACCCCAGCTTGCTGAATTTAAATATCGTGGGTAAAGATCTGAGACGTCTGAGGGTTAGGAAGCAAAACAAGAAATAGCTTTTAACCTCTGGTGAGTGAATCAAGTAAAAAGGGTACAGCTTCATGTACTGTGTTTTTATCCGGCAGTTCATTGAAGTGGTCTGCATTCCCTCATTTTGTTTTTGCTTTCATATTAAAACCATATCCTCAGCAGGACAGAAAACAGTGCCACAGCCTTTTTCTATAAAAGGGCAGTGAAGCGAGCGAGTGGAGTCCTTTTGTCACACGGCTGCCTGGTCCCTTGCCCAGAAGAGGCGCTTCAGCACTGTGCCATGAGCACTAAAGACTTTCCCCTTGTCAGATTTGGGGTGCACAGTAGGGGCATGCGTCTCTTCTTTACCTGATCTTTTAATTCCGAGAGCTGGCCAGAAAGATTGGTGACGAGCTTCATGGTGGACTCCAGCTTCTCCTGCAGGTTCCTCAGCTCATTCTGCTCTCCTTCGGAATCGCTGCTGACCAAAGACATGGCTCTCATCCTGGGGAACCAGTCAAGGTTTCTTTCCTAGAATTCACATTTTAAAAAAGTAGGAATTACTTCTAAGGGTAGAAAAAAGCAAGGTTATCTTATCATGTCATCTTTTTTATGTGCTGTGTCATTAGGTTATCTCTTGTCTATCATGGTACTAATGTAGTATATATTTTTCAAGAAAGTATTCAGTAATGGTCTTTCTTCCTTTCTCTTTCTTTCTTTCTTTATATTTTTTTCTTTTGGTGACAGGGTTTCACTATGAAGTTCAGGCTGGGCTTGCTCTCAGTTTGTAGCTCAGGCTGGTCTCAATCTCACAGTAATCCTCCTGCTTCAGCCTCCTGAGTGTTGGGATTACAGGCATGCTCCACCAGGTCTATCTAGTAATGAACTTTTAAAACTGAACCTAATTGAACTCTTAATTCTTAGAAGAGGAAGTCATGTATAATTAAATATAGGGAGGAAGTAGGTTTCCAAATTAGTCCTAATCTGCAACTCTGAATACTGCCACTGTGGCTCTGAACTGTAGTTTTGTTTGAAACTGAGCAGTCTGAGTAGTTTTGTTTTAAATTGTGGTAAAATATCCATAACCAGATTTATCAGTTTTAAAGTGTACAGTTCAGTGGCATGAAGTACATTCAAATCACTGTGCAAACAGTCACCGGAATATATTTTATCTTCCCTAACTAAAATCCCATCCTGCTTAAACACCCCTGGCAACTACTACCCTATTTTCTATCTCTGTGAATTTGACTTCTCTACATACTTCATTGTACTAGGAAAACTGTAAGCCCTTTGGAAATGAAATGGCTTGGAAGAGCCCGTATGTTCTGGCACTTCAATGGACATGTGTGTGCATGAGTTTGCAGGGGTAAAGGAACTATAAGGGGATGAAAATGGGGAATGCGCTCCTCCATTTTCCAGTTTGTGAGCTTATGGAAACCACCCTTCAACTCGTTTCTTATTCCTTCCAGCCGCAAATGACTGGTGGGTGCTGCCCATGGGTATAAGCAAGGCCCATTCAGTTTCCCCCCCATGTCTGCCTCTGTCCTTGATGGCGTAGCTTACACCTGTGGACATTCGCACTACTACTTAGCAGAATGGGCTCCTCCTCTTCCCTTCTCACTTCCTCTGCCTACATGTGCCTTTCTCCTACAGAGCATGCTCACACCTGAGTTCTACAGAGAGGCAGGAAACAGTAAAAGTTTACACAGCATGAACTTGGGGAAGAAAACTGACTAATACCACAGCTGTCTGCTGTCATTTTCACCTGGACTATTTTGATCTCGTTAGGATAAATTTAATACACCTTCCAACAACAAATCAACCACCCTCCCCAAGTACATACAAAGACTGTGCTATTGTTCTGTGTACATTACGGATCAGGAACATTTTCTGGATAGCACAAACATTCTGACAGCAAATGTTTTGGCCTTTGTAGACCATATGATCTGTTATAACTACTTAGCTGTTAGAACTACTCTGCTGTTATAGTTCCCAAACAGTCATAGGCAATGTATAAATGAATGGGTGTGGCTATATTCTGGCAAAACTTTATTTACAAATGCTGGTGGAAGGGTGGATTTGCCCCACAGTTCTGAGTTCGCTAACCTCTGTTGTACAGAATAGAAGGCATCAATATATTTAAAAGAAGCAAAATTCCAGGAGAGTTGTCTAAATATTGTGAATCAAATAAGATGGTTAAACTCTGTCCTGTCAGCATAGAACCACATCTACTCTAGGGCTTGTGCTTACGACTGCAGGAGAGTCTAGAAGGCTGCAACTCGCGAGCCCAGCTGCATCAGGACAGCTGGAGCCACCTTCAACATTTGGGGGAGCATGGAATGAGACATAACAAAGTGTTAAGTAGTAAATCTTTGGTGCTTACAATGATTTCTTGAAGAGAAAATTCCTTTTGATCAATTTTCCACCACAGTAATGGCCAGAGATTGCTTGACAAATACCCTTATCTCAGAGATGCTAGCATAAAGATGTGAAGTATTTCTCCACGTATAAACTAGTCTTCTGTTGTACAGCTATTACTGGTTAGATGTCCTCTTCCTGTGCTCATCCTTGAGACCCAGCCCTACATTCGCAAAATCCCATGTTTAAGATTTGTGCAACTCCAGGGAAGAAATGAACTCAATTTTTCAGATGTAAGTATGTGTGCTGAATGTACCTCTGCAAGGACCAACTGACCCTGAGAAGGGAGGAGAGGCAGTGTGCACTGGGCTGACGAGGCCCTGAACCCAAAGCTGCAGAGAAGCCCCACACAGGGCCAATCCCGCCATCAGAGACTTGGATACCACTGTGTTTGCTACCTGTGTACAGACTCACCCCAAAGGAGAACAGATTGAAGAAGGAAGATCCAAAGCCTCACTTACAATGGCACATCCTGAGGAGCCTACGGCTATGCCATCCAATGGGATGCAACAGAATGTGACGCCACAGGGAGTTTAGAGATCACTGATCTCACCACTGTATGTATGATGTGGGAAACTGAGGTGCTGGGAGAGTAACTTGCCAGGAGGTGGGGTGGCACCAGTACCTGCATTTCAAAGGAGATCCTGAGAACTAGCTAGTCCTTACAAACTGTAAACCCTTACTAAGTAAGTATATTTGGGAAGGTGGATATTTGATAGTTATTTGAATTCAAATAAAGATTCAAAAATACTTTAAAAACATTTATAATAAATTCAGCATATATTGCAGGAGCCCTGACTTTATATGCTGGAGTTGAGGATGCAGCAGAGATATGGTCCAGATGACCTGGATCTGATCCCGATCACCTGGATCTCTTTAAAGTGGAGGCTGACACCTAAGTAGGAGACAGGGTTCCCGCCACCAGAGTGCTTACAATGTAGTTAAGGAAAGTGGACACCTAGATAGTAGAAAGGAAGGCTAGGTAGCATCAAATGAACAGCAGAGGAAGAGGTAACAAAGAAAAAAACCAAATTCCAGTGATTGGTTGGCAGGAATCCTCTGCACAAAAGCCTCAGGACTGAGGAAGTTCAGCACTTGGCTGAGGGCAAGCATAAGGGCACTGTGCACAAGGGCACCCTCCGCCAAAGGCCACTGGCCCAAGTGGCCACAAGAATAGCTAGAGTTGGGAAAGGGCAGATAGGCCGAGCAGCTCAGGCTGCAATGCACCAAGTAGAGCGGTGTGCTGGAAGGATAAGCGTAGCAGAAAGACAGCACGGCATGACACTGAGAAGCGGGGAGCGTGAGCTGGAGAGGACGTCAGCCAGGCCAGATCTGGGAACACGCATGCTGCTTCGCCACGTCGCCAGAACTCACCTGCAGCTCACTTATACCAACATGCGGCTGAATGCTGCACTGTCTAAAATGCTAGCAAATTCATCTAAAATCTGGCTTTCAAATCTCTCACATGTTCACTTGCTTAGCAAACCCTCTTTAAAAATAAAAAGCGGATTTCTAAACACAATCTACTTGAATGATGAGGTCTTCATGAGATTCCACAAGATCCATCTATGAGTCTGCTCACAGCTGAGAGTTTAGGGTACAGCCTAGTATCTCTTCCTCATCCTAATAACAAGTAGCCAGATAACATGAAAACGAGAATGTTCATAGCATATGCCCACCTTCTTTCCCAGCATCTGTCATTTCCTGTTTCTTTCTCCTCCACACCCCCAGCCAGGATTTCAGAAAGTGTTTTGAACAGATGCAAAATGCATAGACTTCCTAGGCTCAATAGCTGTTCACTCAACTTTTACAACGTCTACGCCCAGCACAGGGCTGAATGCTGAGGACTGAAGCTGAGGAAGACCAGGTTCCCGGGCTTAAGGTGCTTTAGTCCACGGACTGCAGCCACTGTCGAGGGCAGGTCTCAAGTCCAATGTGGAAGTTCTAACAAGTATGCTGGGAGTGAATGAGGGGACACTGGCATGAGGAAGGCTGCCAGGCACTGCAAGGTTGAAAGAAAAACACTGAGATCTTTATTTTTTCCTGCATACCGCTGTCCATGGGATACCTGTCCATGCAGAGGTAACACATCCCTGAGAGCTTCCATTTCAGGTGATAGGATATGACTAAAAATTTTATATGAAACTAAAAAGTACCCTGGAGCAGAACATGGAATTAAATAAAACCATACAGTGTGACTGAAAAATGCAGTGAATGCTTAAAATTCTTTTCAAAAAATTTATTACAGCCAAAGACAGCACCATTAAACTCCTGACTTCAAACACGCTTCTCCTATTGTTTGTTCCACTTTCTGAAGCAGTTTTGGAAGCCCACTGTTGTAGCTGCCTTGTCCTGAATGGATGAAAAATGTTTACCGTTCAGAGTCATTTTGAAAATCCCACAGTGCCATGGCCAGTGAACAAGGCAGATGAGGACACTCTCTAACGTGTTCCCGAGCCTGCCCTTCTGTGAGATGGAACTCAGCAGCAGCAGTCACTGTAATTTTTTATCATACCTTGTAAGGACCCAAAAGAAGACTTCCAGGACTGCTTCAGAAAGTGGGGAGAAGGATGGGGTATGTCCACACTGAGGGGGAGTATTTTGAGGGGGATTAATGACAACGCGTCTCTTATAGCAATAAGTTTTTTCTTTTTTAAACACACACATTGTATTTAATCAGCCATTATATTAAAAGATTAAAAACCACCACTTCCAAGAAAGGTCCTTATTGCAGGTCACTTTGGGGCATATACTCAGACCCTAGAGCCAAGTTTTCTTTTCCCTCTCCCAGGAAGGCTTCAAAGGCAGAAGAGGAATTTCCTGGTCTACATATTCACCAATCACTATACTATAGATTCTCCTCCACTGCCCTCTTAAACAGTATATCTAAAAACAAAATGCTAGGGTAAGAGGGACCCCATAAACTCCCTAATCTATATAAAATGAGCTTAGTGCACAGAATTCACTGTAATCTCTTTTGCACTGAAGAGGCTAAATCCCACACCTGCTGCCAGTATTTTAATTAGATAATCACCCCGGGCTGTTAAGTCAAATCTTAAGTTACCAAGGAGTAAGAGTAGTTAACATTAATCAGCAACTCTAGCCAAACTATT